GGCCTAACTTCCTTGCCAGGTCATACGCAATGGTAATCACTGTTGATACTGCCAAATAAGAAGTAGTTTCGATACTCCAAATTAGGAAAGGAAGCTTTTCCTGGAGAATTTGGTGGTTCCAGCTACTGGGGGATATCTTCTCCTGAGGCCCTGGAGGTGAAGTGGCTTTTCTTGCTTGGCTACTGCTCTGTGAGGTCTTTTATGTAAGGACAGTAGCCGTTTTTTATTCTAGGCCACAGGTTAAGGAAAGAGCCCTCTGGAGGACTCCTGAAACTTTTTTAAAAATATATTTTTTATTGATTTTTTACAGAGAGGAAGGAAGAGGGATAGAGAGAAATATCAATGAGAGAGAAACGTTGATCAGCTGCCTCCTGCACACTCCCCACTGGGGGGGTGCCCGCAACCAAGGTACATGCCCTTGACCGGAATCGAACCTGGGACCCTTAAGTCCGCAGGCCGGTGCTCTATCCGCTGAGCCAAACCGGTCAGGGCCAACTCCTGAAACTTTTTATCCTCCTGGAGAATGAACAGTTTAATTTCTGGTCAACCTGGTTTCGTTGCGAACAGTTGGCAATTGTGCTGCTGCCTGTTTCACATGCAAAAGTTTCAAGTGAGGTAAAAGTAAGCTTGTAGGGCCTGGGGAGGGTTGTGCTGGAATCAGCGGGCAGGTAAAGAGGTTTAGCATTTCAGAAAGAAGGTCCTAATTTCTAGCAAACTCTGTGACCCTGCTAGTCTGGAGGAGCCTAATCGCCATTAGGAAAGAATTGGTTTCTTAAAAGGGAAAAGTAATGGGGAAAACTTCTTAAGAGCTTTATTACATTCTTTTTCATGAAATTATTTCTGCAACAAATTGATTAATATCTAACTTTAAGAATTTTATGTAGGCGTTTCACCATTATGATTTTGAAATATGGAAAGTTCTTGCAAATATTCTTAGATTGCCTTCTGTCTGTCTGCCTTGTAAAAGATCCTTTTAGTTAAATGGACCATCCTCCTTAAATGATGTCATTAGCTCAGATTGAAAAGACATTGCCAGCAGGGAAATCATTTAATTGAACTAAAGTGCCTTATTTCAGTAGATCTTGGAGCAGCTCATTCACTCTTATCTTCAGATTAGATAATTTATATCAGATAATTTTTTCAACTCTATGAATGATAAAATGTTTAAGAAAAGTAATCTCCCTTTTAAGGTATTTTGGTGTTTCATAGTTTTCCATTTATATCAGAGTTAGAATTATGGTTCTTAAAATGTGGACTAAGGTCTTATTTTCAGATAAAAAGTGGTATGGTTTATCAGACTAAAGTATTAATGCATTGGCTTATACATACAGGTTAGTGGTTTCAAAATATTTGTGACTGCTACAGAAATGAGTCAACCCATTTTGTTCTTGAGATCTTTCCCCACTTTTACTGTTTTTATGTTTTATTTTGTTTTAAGTCAGGTTTATTGGGGTACCCTGATGCGTACGCTAAAATTTATTCTTTATAAATGTATAGTTTGATGAATTTTGACATATGTATGGAGCCGGGTAACTGCTACCTCCATCACAATTGAGATAAGATACAGAATATATTTTTAATATATTTTTATTGAATTTAGAAAGAAAGAGGAAGGACGAAGGAGAGGGAGAGAGAAACATTTATCAGCTCCATCCCCTGTACTGGGGATTGAGCCCAAAACCCAGGCATGTGCCCTGATGGAGAATCCAGTCAGAGACCTCTTGGTACATGGGATGATGCTCAACCAAGAGAGCCACTCCAGCCAGGCAAGATACAGAATAGTTTTATCACTGCAAAGAGTTCCCTCATGCCCCTTTGTAGCCAACCCTATTGCCTTCATTCCCAGTTCCTGGCAACCACTGATCTAATTTCTGTCCCATAGTTTGCCTCATCCAGAAGGTCATATATGTGGAGTGATGCAGTAGGTAGCCAAGGAAGTTTGGTTTCTTACACTTAGCATAATGCTTTTACAACTTATCAATATTGTTGCATGTATCTGTAGTCATTCCTTCTTATTGCCGAGTAGTAAGTATTGCATTGTATGGATGTACCACAAATTGTTTATCCATTCACTAATGAAAGATTTTTTTTAATTCTTTTCAGTTTTAACTAATATTAATAAAACTATAAATCCCTGTGCCAAATCTTTATGAGGGTGTATGTTTTCATTTCTCTTAGGAGTGGAATTGCTGGGTCATATGATACGTTTATAAGAAACTCTTAAACTGTTTTGCAAAGTTGCCATACCATTTTGCATTCCCACTAGCAATGAGAGTAGCAGTTGCTTTGAATCCTCACCAGCACTTGGTATTGTCCATCTTTTCATTTTAGTTCTTCAAGTAGGTGTCCTACCTTTTAACTCTACATTCTTATCTTTATTTTAACCCTTGAATCTTAAGAATTTAAAGTTGAAAAACAACCAAGCCATAACATTTCCCTGTTTATTAGTTGAGTCTTTTTAAAAGATATTAGATTGGTTTGGTGCATGATTCTAAGATGGATTATAATCATTTCAGTTTTTAAAAAGTTGTATTGAGCCCAGCTGGTGTGGCTCAGTGGTTGAGCATTGACCAATGAACCAGGAGGTCACGGTTCAATTAATGATCAGGGCACATGCCCAAGTTGCAGGCCCGATCCCCAGTAGGGGGCATGCAGGAGGCAGCCAATCAATGATTCTCATCATTGATGTTTCTCTTTCTCCCTCTCCCTTCCTCTCTCTGAAATCAATAAACATATTTTTAAAAATTGCATTAAACTCAGTGCATTCTAATCACTTTTGTTATTATAGGGATAAAGCCATTATTTTCAAATATATTGGTCATGTTCCTAAATATATGACATGATAGCTGGTTGAAGCAACACATGACTCTTAATCTTTCAGAGTTTTCTCTGTTAAAAAATATGTTACTGAATTTCCTTGGCAACTGTATATAAGCTAAAATTTTTAAAAAGTTGAGACAAGTTTTAAGTCTCAAGTTGATATTAAAGAGTTATACCATTCTTTTCAAATGTATTTCTTTAAGGAAGACATTTCACCATATGTAATTATTAAAGTCTTGATAGTTTTCTACTTTAGAGTCATCTGGTGTCTTAACGTAATAGAAAGTTGCTATGCTCAAGGCTTTTTATATAGTATGACTTTTTAGTAGTAATACTTTAAACAATAAAGAATTTTTAAAAAAATCCTGCTATGTGGTTTCTACTTTTCTTTTTGGATTAGCACTGTTTTGAAAGGGAGATAATTATTTATATAAAAATTAAGGGTGAGTGAATGCTGTCCTAAGTTGTTTTTTTGTTTGTTTGTTTGTTTTTACAATCAACATTAATTATTTTATACTGGATACTTAAAAAAACTTAGAAGTGCTGGATATTACTGTCAAAGCAATTATGAAATATAAAATGTTTTCTTAAAATAATTAATATAGCCCTAGCTGGTTTGGCTCAGTGGATAAAGCATTGGCCTGAGGACTGAAAGGTCCCAGGTTCAATTCCAGTCAAGGGCATGTGCCTGGGTTGCAGGCTTAATCCTCAGTAGGTGGCAGGCAGGAGGCAACCAATCAATGATTCTTTCTCATCATTAATGTTTCTAGCTCTCTCTCCCTCTCCCTTCCTCTCTGAAGTCAATAAAAATATATATTAAAAAAATAATTAATATATAAAGGTTCTTCTTGAGGGAAAAGATAGTACCAAATAGAACAGCATATTAAATCATATCAGTAATTGGATTATAATTGGTAGAACCTTCTTTTGGTATTTCTCCTGAAAACTGGTTGGCTCTTAACCATACCTCATATTTTGCTGTATCAAAATATTTCATAACGCGTGTTGTAAAATTCACAGGTAAGACTTCTAAAAGTTTCCCCTATTAAATTTAGATGATTTCATGTTACGTAGCTCCTCTATCAGTCATTTGATGTGAACCTCACCAAAATCAGTCGCAATAGCATCCAATTTTCTCCTGGTCTCTGGTTCACCGCTAGGTCAGCAAACTTTTATGGAGAAGAGAATGAAAGGGCAGACTGGTCCGAAAGAGGTAATAGGCAGCTTTTGTATCCAGGTGAGAAGGTTCTTTGCTTCCAGACCTAAGTAATTAGGGGGGTAAGAATCCTCCGATAATTCAGCCAATAAAGGTGTTTAATGATAGAAGGAACCGTTAGAGGTGATGATTAATTAGCCCGGGCACTTTGGGCTGGCCAGTGTGCGTGCAGCAGTACATACTGGCCATCAGCTGGTAAGCATGCCGTCTTGTAAAGGGCTTTCTGCTCTGACACTGGTCATATATCATTGCAGCTGTGCCCTTTGATTACTGGGAGGGCTTGCAGAGTGATTAATAGCCAGGATCAATGTTTCTGCCCAGCACATGACATTTGGTCACAGAGCAACCATATACTTATTCCCCTTTGGCACAACGCTTAGGAGGAATGAAGGATGAGACCTGCCAATTTATAGCTGAGGAGCTTCCAGTTTATAAAATGAGTCAACTTTGACTGTACAAAATTATTCCCCATTGAAATAATTAGTGCAGCATTAAACACAATTAGAACTAAAACTCCAGGAGCATGCTTGCTGAATCCAAGCCAGTTGACAGATGGTTAAGACCTGATATTTGGCTGCCTGTGATGACCAAGACTTATTATTTTGCTGAGAAAATGAAAAAGCTTGAAAAAGTGAACAGTGTCTACTTAAAAAAAAAGATTAGGTGATATGATGCAAAAATGCACATTGAAAATACACCAGAATGTTAGGCTATTCAGTGTGACAACTCTATAGATCTCTGTAACACAAACAATTGAATATCTTTGTGTGAATGATGCTTATTATTAATACCATGTTCAGCCACTTAAGACAGACCCTGGCTAAAAAACAATTTGGTTACAGGGAGCTACTTTAATATGATATGGTCTTATTTTATGATGTATGTTGGCCCTCTGCTTACTTTTAGTGGCACTTATAAATCCTATTAGAATGGAAGGTTTGTAGGACATCAAATACTGTTAAGAACTTAACTATATGTATAATAAAAATGTGTGAGTTAAACAAATTTTAATTGAAACCTTTAACTTGAAATAGTTAGATATGTAAATTAAGCTCCCTTATGTTATGTCAGCATAGTGGGGAAAAAGATGATTTCCCAGCCTTCCAGCTCTTTCATAAAGCCCATTCTGATAGAATAGAACATAGGCCCAGTGGTCTTTGGTTTTGATAATAATGCTTAACCAGTCGTGGTTCATATTGCATTTAGTTCCCAGTACATCTTACTATTCTTACCCCAACACTCAACGTTCTGAGTCATAAGTACTCCAGAGGCTGCATTCAGAAAGTTGTCAAGGTCTGTAGTGTACACCATGCAACTATAATTATTTCCACAGTGTGTGTGTGTGTGTGTGTGTGTGTGTGTGTGTGTGTGTGTGTGTGTTTAAGTATATGCTTTCGGGGATGAGAATTTAGTATTTGGAAGAAACTCCAAGAAATTTATATGAGTAGAATTTTAGTTTTCCAACTTACACACGATTAGAGTTGCATTTTATATTCATGGTAACAAAAAGTCAGTTTTTTTACATGTTTTTTCTCACTAAATCATTAAAAAGAGATATAGGACTAATGTGCTATTTGGTATTTATATGCCTCTTTATTTATAGTTAGAAACAGGAGGGACCAATTTAAATTCTGGCAGTTTGGGGTTAATCACTTAATTTATGACATGTTTACGTTTCTTAATCTGTAGTGTAAGAAAGATATGCTAATTATTGCCTGGATTTATATACTACCTTTTTTCCTAGGAATTCTGAGTGCTTTCTGATTTCTCCTATACGGAGAAATTTTTTTCTTTTTTTCTTTTTTCTCTTAAGCTCTGGGAAGATAAGGGGTACAAAGTGTATGTGGCTTAGGATCTCAGCCAGTGACACTGCTATTATAAGAAAACAGAGCTTGTTTCTAATTGTCTACCTACTCTTCTGTTACTCAAACTTTGTAACAATATAAAATGGTCCCAACCAGCTTTCATGAAATCTAATAAAACATCTTGGATAGTATTTTATAAATATTCAGACTGAATTTTTGTTGTTGTTCCTTGAGCCTGTGGTGGTTCTGTTCTTAGGTATCCACGCATAATATTGTCTCTTGACCAATATAAATTTCTGAGTTGGTGGGAGTGTGAAAAGAGGTGGTTAAAGTTATTTATGGCTATGCATTAGAGCAGTGATGGCGAACCTATGACACGCGTGTCAGAGGTGACACGCAAACTCATTTTGTTGGTTGATTTTTCTTTGATAAATGGCATTTAAATATATAAAGTAAATATCAAAAATATAAGTCTTTGTTTTACTATGGTTGCAAATATCAAAAAATTTCTATATGTGACCCAGCACCAGAGTTAAGTTAGGGTTTTTCAAAATGCTGACACGTCGAGCTCAAAAGGTTCGCCATCACTGGTTAGAGTAAAATTCCGAGCTCAAACTGAGGAAGTTGGCTTTATTTACCTATGTGCTCATCTGAGATAGCTGGGGGCATGAAAGACATTGGCAGTTAGATATGGGTCTGGAGCTCAGAAGAGTGATCTGAAATCACAACATATACATTTCAGGAAAAGCAAAATAATTTGGTACATTCTAGTGTTCTTTTTTTTTTTAATTTTATTTTTTATTACAAAGGGTATTACATATGTGTCCATTTTTTTTCCCCGCCCTAGACAGTCCCCTAGCCTCCCCTATTCCCCAGTGTCTTATGTCCATTGGTTAGGCTTATATGCATGCATACAAGTCCTTTGGTTGATCTCTTACCCCCCTACCTCCCGCCCCCGAACCCTCCCCGGCCTTCCCGATGCAGTTGATCTAGTGTTCTTTTTGTGCATGTTTCTAAAATGCATTATTTATTAGAATCTTTTTCGTTAACTTTTTTGGTAAAAATAAAGACAGACTTTAGACATCCTCTTCAGAAAATGCCGAAGATAATATTCATTTATTATAATTTGACGTAGCATATGGTGATATTCGTCTGACTTTGTTCTGGTAAATGACTGACTGAGACTTACTATGACTTTTTATTAACTGTCAGTTGCGATAAAAATTCCTCAGCATGTAGACAAGTGGCTTAATGTCTTAGAGCATAGCTAGCCATCAGTACAATCATCAAGTTGCTGTTATGTGCCAGGATTGTGCCAGGCATTTGGGATTCCATCAGTGCTGCCCCTGTAA